TGAGAGAGAGAGAGAGCACAAGCAGGGAGGAGAGGCAGAGGGAGAGGGACAAGCAGACTCCCTGTTGAGCAGGGAGCACAATGTGGGGCTTGATCCCAGGACCCTGGGATCATGACCTGAGCCGAAGGCAGATGCTTCACTGACTAAGCCACCCAGGCACCCCTCAAGGTCTTATTTTTAGTTGAGTGCATAATTCATGCGCAAACCATTATTTAAAATATATATATAAAGAAACAGCTTTATAATGAGATATATAAGTCTGGAAAGAACTGGAAATCAGGTCTCAGGGATAGCTAATTTACTAAAGCCACAGGGTTTTTCAGTTTTAAGACTGAGTTTCCTGGAGTAGCACCTAGGATTGTTTTCATAGTTTCCTCACCTAGCTAACTGTGTCTAGCCAATTCTGCCCTTGACTGTGAGTTCTTTGAGGGCAGGAATATATCTTACACTTCTTTCTCTCACTCAGGGCACCTTTCTACCCCTTCTCACATGGATGTATCACAAATATTGGTTGACTTAGCAGGTTTCATTGTTCCCTTTCCTCTTGTGGCAAGGAAGAGTTTCCTACTCCTCCCCAACTTTGTAGGTAAATAGGTTACTCTGGGGGCTCATCCACTCCTTTCCCTGGCAGCCCAGATTAAAATGGGCAGAAGCAAGATGTGTGCCCCACAGGCCACCGCAGAGGGCACAAGGCTATTGGGGGCTCACTTTTGATTTTGAATAGGCTGAGAAGAAAAGCTCAGCCAAGGACTGTTTCTGGTCAGCATAATAGCTTTTAAGCCTCCATTCTGTTTGGGCAAAGTTGTGTTGGAGAATTTAAAAATGACTAGGGTGTGCACTGACAAAGCTGGAAGTGATAATTGATATGTCTGGAGTCTGTGATGAAAAGCACTTTCTCAAAGTGATCTAAAGGAAACACATTTTTTTTTTCACTTTAGTTTGTGATGTCATGTCAGTTCTTACACTGCTGGGCTCAGGTTGTTGTCTTCTGTATGCAGCCAGCCCTGCCATGTTGAGTTGGCCTCTAGATCTTCTGCACGGCTCAGCCCGGGGAGCCCGGGTCGGGGAGGGGAGCCTGGCTCTTGGAATACACACAGGACAGGCTTAAAAGAGAAAACTCTCTTCTAGGGGGCATCTATTTTTTATTGCCTGGACCTAGACAAGTCTCAAAAAATTGCTGTCTCCCATCTAGTAATTAAAAAAAAAAAAAGATCCCTAGTGTTTTCTCATATGGTTGGGCTAACTGCAGTATTTCAGCATGAATTTAGCTGGCATAAAATTTTCAGATCCCTTAATCCAGTTTCCCAGAATTCTAACTGCGGTCCTTATCTGTTGTCTCTGTCTTCTGTTTTCTATATCCTGTTGCCTCCTGCCACCATAAAGCATACTACCATCTGAAGTTCATACAGCCTATGGTTTTTTCTCCTACATGGGATCTAAGCAAGGGACATTTGGGGTGAGCCATAAAGATCTGTTTAGCTTAGGGATGCCTGGATGGCTCAGTGGGTTAAGTGTCTGTCTTTGGCTCAGGTCATGATCCTGGGGTCCTAGGGGCTCTCTGCTCAGTGGGGGGCCTGCTTCTCCCTCTCTTTCTGCTGCTCCCTCTGCTTGTGCTCTCTTCCTCCCTCTCTCAAGTAAATAAATAAAATCTTTTTAAAAAAAAGATCTGTTTAACTTAAACATAATAATGCTAGGGTTGCCCTTAGATTTGTTAGAGCTTCCTTTGATAAACCACAACAGCAGAGGGATTCCTATATTTATTTAATCCCATTTGAATCTACTTGTATTTTCAGTGTGTGCAGGTGCATCTCTCATTCATTCAGAGGCAGTAAAGTAGTGAAGTACTTTGGCTCCAGAATCAGGTGAATCTAAGTGGAAGTTCCAGCCTTGCTACTTATTAGTTGTGCCATTATTCAGCGAGCCTTGAAGAGCCAGTTTCCTCATCTATAAAATGGGTATAATAAGAGTTCTGAGGCGATCAAGTGAGATAACTATGTGGTGTGTGATCTACTTAGCCTAGTGCCTGGTATGTAAAAAGCCCTCAACAAAGAGTGGCTATTTTTATCCATTCAATCAAAAGAAACATGTATCGGGTATCTGCAGGGTTCAGGCATGTTGTAGGCATCCAGGAAGAGTTTACAGTCATGGTTGGTGGAGACAGGGGGCTAAAACACTTTCAAAAGTAGAAAATAATAAAGGACAGAAAGATCATGAAAGGGCAAAGAATCTTTGAGTTGGGTTGTGGGATGTGAAGAATGTGGAGTTGAGTGCGGACCAAGCAACCGGCATGCTGGAGAAAGGGAACAACCCCTGAGAGAGTTACTGGACAGGAATGGTGAGAACATGTTAGCAGCCAGATTGGCTTAAACATCTATCTATCATCTGTCTATCTATCTATCTATCTATCTATCTATCTATCTATCTATCATCTATCTGTATCAGGAACTTGGCAAATGACCAACCGTCTTGTCTGGAAGGTGCCCCGATGGTGAACTTCCAAATACTGACCTTTGCATGCAAATATTGAGAAGGTTGTCTTTTTATTATTTTTAGTATTATGTATCAGTGATATCGACCAGAATGATGGCTCTAGTTATGGGGCCTAACTACATCCCAAATCCTTTTTCACCTTCATTAGCACAATTTCCTCTGCTTAAGATATTTGGAAGCAAAAGAGTGCCTCTGCTCTTGGGCGCATATAACCCTGTGGGTGAACATGATGGGAAACATTACAGGTAAAGGATTAGACAGGCCCAGATTGTATTTCATTCTGATGTTTTTTCTCCATATCATATTGGTTTTAGCTGTATTGATTATAACTCAGGGAGTGTGTGGGTTTAGAATAGATACAGTTGCATCAAATTGATTGCTTTTCTTCCGATGTTGACTTTTCCTCCTGTATGAGTGAATCACTTGAATTTGCAGGGTGGACTAATTTTACTTCTTTCCAGCCTAAGTGGGCTATCTGCAGCTAGAGGACAAAGGACAAGAGCTTACCAGAGAGGCGACAATGAGGGGATGAGATAGTTTCAAAGGAGGGAGGTTACAAAACCTCCTTCCTTGATCCCCTCCCCCACTGTGGTCCAGGTTAATATGCATTTCAGTGACAACTTAATGCTACTGGGGGTTTTATGTAATTTTTAAGCTTCTCAGATGTTTGTTACTTTTGTTATCCTTATGGAAATCCTACAATCACTAGTATTATTTTTAATCCTAAAATGAGGTAAGGAGGCCTGGGTGTGTTTATGTAGGAGGAAGATGGTAGGGTCCCAGTCCTGGAACTTGCCTACTGTCCTGGAAGAGTCAGGCAGATAAACGATAGGTCATGGTGGCTGAGAAAGAAAGATCAGGGGCTCCTGGGTGGCTCAGTCAGTTAAGTGTCTGCCTTCAGCTCAGATCATGATCCCAGAGTCCTGGGATGAGCCCCCAGTTGGGCTCCCTGCTCAGCGGGGAGCCTGCTTCTCTCTCTGTCCCTTTCTCCCACTTGCACGCGGGCGCGCGCTCTCTCTCTCTCCAATAAATAAGTAAAATCTTAAAAAAAAAAAAAAAGAGCGACAAGGGTGAGTAGGGGAGTACTGGGGGCCAGGGATTGAAGTGTGCCTGTGTAGGGTAACTGGCATGAGGGCAGTATTTTCTGACTTAGGAAGGTAAGACAGCGTCGTCACTGGCGCTAAGTGCGGTGACCCACAGCAGGAGCACCCTCCTCTGACCCCATAGGGACCCCTGCTTATTTTCCTTCACTCCACCCTACTGCTCTCGAGTCGGCAGCCCCCAGCCCAGAAAACAGGCGGTGAGGCAGCTGTTTGAATCAGGCCAGGTCCCTTCTCTGAAAGCTTCGGACCCAGAGAGGGGCGGGAACTCCTTAATTGTCCTCCCCCGGGACCTACGCGCCGCACCGGGTGTGTGTGTGTGTGTGTGTGTGTGTGTGTGTGTGTGTGTGTGTGTGTGTGTGTGTGTGTGTGTGTGTGTACGTGCGCGCGCGCGCGCCGCGGGAGCTGTCCGCTCTTCTGAACTTGTTACTGGCTGGATTCGTGGCTCTCCAGGCACGCCGCAGCCTGGGTGAAGGGCTCAGGGGGTCCCGAGAAGGGCGAGGGCCTGAAGGTCTGCGGCAAGCTCCAGACTTTCAATTTTAAATCCCTGCCAGAACCTCCTATCCACTCCAGCCCAGACCCTAAGCAGGGTCCAGCTCTTAAGGACGGGTCGCTCAGCTCTCCCTCACATCCCGTGGTGTAGCTCCAATCCCTCACTCCACTGCTTACCCTGCTCCGGGTCATCCTGAGAGCCTAGCGCTTGACGCCGCTCCTCGCTCCTCATCCGCCGCTCCCTCCTCCGGAGCAGGACTTTCCCAAGGCGCAACGAGCTCCCGCATCGAGATTCTCCCTCGTCCCTCTGACCCAGGTTTGTCTGACCCTCCTCCCTTTTCTGTTTCCATCGTCTTCACACTGTCCTTCTACCTAGTTGTCTAAGCACCGACTCTGGTGGTGCGCGCTCCGCCCCCATTTTTCCATACAAGGGAGCGCTGGAGTGGGGGCGGGGCGGAGGGGAGGCGCTCCCAGTCCCTCTCAAAAACTGCGAGCCCACTGGGAACTCCTGAATCTGTTGAGCTCCCGCGGGGAAGCGAGAAGCCTGCGCCGCCGTCGTGGGCTGAGGACCGCTAGAGGACAGCCGGGATTCGGCCCCTCATTGCCCGGAGCGTTTTCCCGCCCGCCAAGCCCTACTCACCAGGTAGGACCATGCTTCTGGGTCTGACCTGCGTGGACTGCCAAGGCTCTACATTGAATAGGAGACGTTTAAATAACCTGTGCACACGTAATCTCCCATAGATTTATTTTTACATAGGGGGGGATGACAGCACTTCTGATTGTTGTTGTTATTTATTTTGGCCAGTTATTCTAAAGGGAGTATTTGGGTAATTGAGGTTGGGGGGGGCAAGATTGGTGTAGGAGGGTTGAATGGACAGTGGGAAGTGACAGGCTTTGATTCTCTTCAGACAGGTGGCCATGGCCTCACTGGCGACTCAGGGCCCCCCAGTCCCTGACTTATTTTCTGGGTTGCCACCGGCGGCCTCAACTCCTGCCAACCAGAGCACGGAGGCCTCGGCGGTCAATGGGTCGGCGGCTGACCCAGGCGCTCAGGCCGTCACGCCTTTCCAAAGCCTGCAGCTGGTGCATCGGCTGAAGGGGCTGATCGTGCTGCTCTACAGCATCGTGGTGGTTGTGGGGCTGGTGGGCAACTGCCTGCTGGTGCTGGTGATTGCGCGGGTGCGTCGGCTGCACAACGTGACCAACTTCCTCATCGGCAACCTGGCCTTGTCCGACGTGCTCATGTGCACCGCCTGCGTGCCGCTTACGCTGGCCTACGCTTTCGAGCCACGCGGCTGGGTGTTCGGCGGCGGCCTGTGCCACCTGGTCTTCTTCCTGCAGCCTGTCACCGTCTACGTGTCGGTGTTCACTCTCACCACCATCGCGGTGGACCGCTACGTCGTGCTAGTGCATCCGCTGCGCCGGCGCATCTCCCTGCGCCTCAGCGCCTACGCAGTGCTGGCCATCTGGGCGCTGTCCGCGGTGCTGGCGCTGCCGGCCGCCGTGCACACGTACCACGTCGAGCTCAAGCCGCACGGTGTGCGCCTCTGCGAGGAATTCTGGGGGTCTCAGGAGCGCCAGCGTCAGCTCTATGCTTGGGGGCTGCTGCTCGTCACCTACCTGCTCCCCCTGCTGGTCATCCTCCTGTCTTACGTCCGGGTGTCGGTGAAGCTGCGGAACCGCGTGGTGCCGGGCTGCGTGACCCAGAGCCAGGCCGACTGGGACCGTGCGCGGCGCCGCCGCACCTTCTGCCTGCTGGTGGTGGTCGTAGTGGTGTTTGCCGTCTGCTGGCTGCCGCTGCACGTCTTCAACCTGCTGCGGGACCTCGACCCGCACGCCATAGACCCCTACGCCTTCGGGTTAGTGCAGCTGCTCTGCCACTGGCTCGCCATGAGCTCGGCATGCTACAACCCTTTCATTTACGCCTGGCTGCACGACAACTTCCGTGAGGAGCTGCGCAAGCTCTTGCTTGCCTGGCCCCGCAAGATCGCGCCGCACGGCCAGACCGTGACAGTCAGCGTGGTCATCTGATGCCACCGCGCCAGGGCTTGGCTGGGGAGCTCCACGTCCACTCGTCTCGAGGGTGCCCACCTGGGGCCGGACTGGAGCGCTTATTCCCAGCACCAGGGCTAATCCAATACGTGGCAAAACTTCCAGCTTAGCCCTCTTGTCCAGCTGCCTTGCCTTGTCCTTGTGTCTATGTAAAATGTGAAGTGGGTTTTGGTGGGAGTCTTGTGCTTTGCTTGGAAGAGGCCAGGGAGAGGGGAGAGGATTTATTATTTCCTCTTTACGCCCGTGAATGCCAAACAAAGCTCTTTCTCCTGGTTCACGACAGTAATTCAGAGCCGTGGCTGTCTTCCTTGCTTTCCCTTCTGCTTGCTCAATGGTGAGTTGAAGGAACAATGGGGGTGAGATTTAAAATGGCTGCGTTGGGGCTGGTGAAGCTTTTCGGGTTGCCTTTTAAAAAGGACTCAACTGAGCTGTCATACCTGATACTGATGAGTCGATCTGAATCCATTAATTCCTAGGATTGCAGGGAAATATGTATTACAAATCTATATCTGGGATTTCAGCATTTCCTGAATAAGACCTTTCCACACCAAAAGGGTTTTACTTTGAAATTCACTTGAATTTATAGCACAAAACCACTCAGGAGCCACCTTGCAAAAGGTCTTGCTATTGCTTCCCCCCTCCTTATCCCCTAACTTCTATTTGAAAATGATAAGATGAATTAGTCAATGAAGGGGTAGATATATAGGGGTAAAGAAGGAAAGGTCCAAATCACTTAAGGGGGCATGTAACTGTGCACGGGACAGACATCTCTGTGTGTTGTGTGTTTGTGTAGACACACCCAGTGTTTGCCACAGGGCAGGTACACAGATATTTGGCTTTCTGAATATTCAATGTGAACCATGTTCCAAAGCATTCTCTTGCATTCTCTAATTGCTCAGTAGCGACAGTTCAACAGCTGTCATCTGACTGCTCAGCACCTGCTCGGTGGTGACACGCTTGGAACACAACCCAGAATGCAAGGACTGGGAGAAGTTTACTTAAGGCTGGAACCAAAAAATAAACTCCCACCCAACTGCAATCAAACATTTCATTCCTTCCAGGCTTAAGGGGTCAGATGAAGACTGTTGGGCCATGATACCAGGCTGATAATCCTCACCTTCACCTCCTGAGAATTTTGTATATGAGGACAAGTGCCCTGGGACAAGGGTTTTCACATTGATGTGGGAGTAGTGACTGGACAATGAAGGTGAGAGTCTTGGGAAGTGATGCACGATATCCACCTGTCAGATCAGCCCCTGAGCATATAGGGCATGAGCTAGTGCAGCAACTACAAGTCTGTTATCATCTGTAAGACTCCAGTACCACCCTAGCTCACTATACAGTAGAATTAACTTCTCTCCTTATCTTACTCTCTAAAATGAGCTCATTCACTCATGAAAGTGTGCCCGGAAAGGAAGGGAAAGAGGGGAAAGACTTGGGGATGACAAGAATTAAGTCCTATTACTCCAGTGCCAGCAGCCACTGATGGGAGAGTAAGTATTCCTGGTTGGGCTAGTTAGCAATATGTATCTTTAGTAGTTATATAGCCAGACTGTTCGCAGCATGGGGGAGGGCAGGAAAAGCCTGGCTTGGGAGAAAGAAAAAAGCAGGTTAACTTGGGAGATGCAAGTTACCTTTGGCAATGGCACAAATAACTAACTTTCAGCTTCATCTGTGGATGTGGAGAACAAAGCTTATGGTCTAATAAATGTAGCCCACCAACAGCATTATGTGACTCCCCCGTTCCAAACGAGCGCATCCCCCAGGCATCCCAGAGGCTGACTCCTGTGCTTCCAGCAGCTCTATTACTTGGGAGGCTCAAGGCCAGACAGACATTTCATGTTTCCTCAGAGCATTCTTTTGATGGGAATGTGTGGAGAATGGAGGCGATTGGGGAAAGGCTGGGATTAGTTGGGGGAAGGATCTGATTAATTGTGGTTTCAGTTTTGGAAGGCTTAAGTCACTTGGTTCTCAGCTCTGGCTGCTCCTAGAATCAGTTGGAGAGCTTTCAAGAAACATCAGTGCCTAGGTCCTATCCCCAGAGGGTCCAACTAATTTGAGATGGGACCCGGGCCTCAGCATTTTTCATAGCACTTTGGGTGACTTTAATATGCATCCAAGGTTAAGCCCCTTAAGAATTATCCTCTAATGAATCTCAGCAACATCTGAATGAAGCTTTGTTTATACCTGCCAAAGGTATTATGAATTTGGAGTTGAATTCTGTCAGGGTGTTACATGCTACACTTGGGGAATAATATTCTTTTAGTCTTCAGACCAGTATTCATGAATCACACAGAGGCAAATCCGTATAATCAAAATATATAGGTATTCATTCAACAGTTTTCTTACAAATCTCCTATGTGTAAGGCAGTGCATGAGTCCAATCAGTTTTTTTTCAACTTTAGATTCATTCGCAGTATAAAGTTATACACCATGAATTATTCCAAATCCTGGTTTCCAGGGTGTTAAAAAAATTGAAGTGTTCTCTGATGAGCTTGATTGAAATCTACATCAACTGTGAGAAGAAAGTGTCCTCATTAATTACTAGAAAAGCCACCCGCTGTTCCTAGCCTACAACTTAAGTTAAAAATTTTAACATTTACATGGACTTTATGGAGAGCCTAAAGAGGCTGGAGAATTATGCTGTGTTTATAAACATCTTTATGAATGATCCAAATTGCCCCCTGAACAGCAACTAATTAATTCTTATCCTATCTCAAATCTATCTGGGACTAGTTTGACTGTAAAACAAATGAACTTTAAAAAAAATCTCTCAGAAGTGAGTCCTATAGAAATCCACATAGCGCTGAGGTGGAAAATTTATTTAATGTAATTTATTTTAGTTAATACCAAGCATCCAGTCCTCCTCCTGCAAAGGAGTCATACGAACCATAAAGCTGGGAACGGAGCCAGCCGGGTACTTGGCAACAGCCCATTCCGAGGCTGACAGGAGGTTCTGTAATCCTCTTTGCAAGCATTGTCACTGGGTCTCACTTTTGGCAGCCAATCAATAGATTTATCTCAGTAAATCAGCCAGGGAGTGTTTCAATATGTGTTGGCAACAGTTACCTGGAAATAGCAACTGTGAGAGATGCTAAGGTAACAATATTCCAATTGATGTAACCTTCCTGCATTTTTGTTCTTGTGGATTTTCTGCCTGCTCTTTTATTGGGGGTGCTCAGTTCCAGGTTTATTTTCTCAGGTGGGCTACTTAACCATCTCGGTCCTGTGGCTTGCATTTATGAACATTTAGTAGTCTTGCAAATGCGAGGCATGGAGCTGACATCAAGGGGACCCAGGAAAGAGCGTAGCTAGATCTGAGAGTGAACCCAGGGTCCATCCCCCACAGACGAGAGGTCAGGAGCACTTTTGTTTTACCAGGTAGATCTTCAATGGAGTTCCCTCCATGCCTTGATGTCTTTGTTATATGTGTAAGATGCATGTGTTACTGACTCATGGTATGAAGCTCTTCAGGCTGGGGCTTGCACTGTTTGCTGCCTTTTGGGTGCTCAATAAATATTAAATCAGTAGTACCAGCTCAAGTTACATACCTAGTGTAAACTACATAACCTTGGGATGGCCAGGGTCAAAGCAAAAATAAATCATATCATGGATAACATGCTACTCAATCTGGATTTGTCATTTCTAGCTAATTCCAGATATGAACTGCTCATTTGGGGTCTTCTATGACCCCCTGGCTCCAACCTCAGTAATGACAGCATTTCAGTACATGGTACCAAGCTCTGTGCTTTCCAAAATTGCATGTGCCTAAATTGACAGGTCCATCAAAAGGAGAGTAGAGAATTTCATGCTTAATTTCTATATTCATCCTTAATCTGGATCATTATTTAAAGGCTAGCATTTTATTACTTGTTTCCACCTATCACTTGGGAAATTTAAAAACATCCAACACATGGGTCTATAAACCAAATTTGATCATCTAGATTCCAAAATGTTCATGACAGTGTTACAAAGAGGATTTTCTGACACTTACAAAATAAGATTTAAAAATACATTTATGGACACCTTCCCAGGGATCCACCTATTTTGCAAAGTGAGATAAGCTACATACAGATGTTGGGCATGTAAAGTATTCCTTTGGATGAACGAGAGTTGTATCCTTGATATGTTAAAAGACTGTGCATTCTCCATCACTCTTTGGAAGTAGAAAGCTTTATTTTGAAAATTGAGTGTGCACACTCATTCTTTTCTGCTTTCCAACTCAATTCCTCTTCGTTTCCCACTGATTTCTCTATTTCTGGCCCTTTTCTGCTATTTTCTTATATTATCTATAATATACGTCCGATCTAAAGCTCCCTCCTCCCCAGTGGGAAGTGGTGGGATTCCAGCATCCACCTTCTTGTGGGTTCGTATAAGGTGAATCATGTTGGAGAGATACTCTGGCTAGTTCTGTTGCAGAGGCAGGCTTCATCAAATCAGTGGAGGGCTGCTGCCCATTGCATTTCCTGCCCACTGTGGGGTCTTGAAGCTCACACCATTGATCGTTTCCCAGACAAGCTGCACGCAGAGGTGGACAACAGGAGTTTGCATGGGATCTCCAGCTGGGCCCTTAATGTGCTAAATCTCACAGAGAGCTCTTAAGGGGGGCCTAACAACAAAAGGTCAAATGTGTTTCATTTTGATGTTTGGGGCTGGAACAAGAAAACCAGAGCCAGAAAAAGCAAAGGACAATCTCCCCTTTTAAGTATTCCTTGCCTCCCTCTCTCAGTCTCAAAGAATCCTCTTCTTGACTTGCTGACAACTAAATCCCACAGTCCCAGAACTCATCTCCTCCTTCTGGAGTGACATCTAATGATGAATGGAAAGCTACTCTCTTCTCCCCCACCATACACGCTCAGTATTGCCAAGTAATGAAAAAAAAAATCCTTTGAGCTGGGAAAATTAAATAAAAACTCCAGGTCTCAGCTCTGGGTTAGAAGTCAGGTGCTGGGCTTCTTCTCTAACCCAGAACACCACAATCACCCCTGGGTCTTCATCCTAGGAGCATGGCCCAGCCACCTGAGTAGGGGGCTCAGTGCTGAAGCATAACATACCCTGGGGCAGTCAGATGGGTGCCCTGGCCCTGCGGGGTGTGGGGTCACTATGTGGGGCAAATCCTT